AGTACCTCAAGTCTTTATGGAAGGGGATTCCCTTTCCAAATAATAAAACACCTGCATCATCTTCCCTCCTACTGTCTCATCACTCAACAAGAACTCCACAATAAAGGTAAGTGGCATTTAATTATTGTTTATTTTGCATGTCCCATTCATTTTTGTGTAGGGAAATGTATATTTCATGTAAAAAAAATGATTTTGTTTAATACTTTAGGGTGTCTGAACAGATTAATTCTATTTCCATTATTTCTTATGGGAAAAATTAATTCGACTAACGGCTAGCTCTCTGGAACAGATTAATGCCGTTGGTCAAGGGTCCACTGTACGTCTGTTTGATCAACATTTGTCCTGGAAGCCCCACAGTACTTGTTTGAAAGCAACTTGGCATAGCCAGCAGAACTTCCTTAAGACCTTAGTTCATCTTTTATGGGGGGCAGATCGTCAAACTCTCCTTTGACTTCATTCTGCCCTAATCTTACCAAAACTAAATTATGGCAGGCTCTCCTGCCATTCTTTCTAAACTTGATCTCATTCATCATCAGTGATTATATTTGTGTATAGGTGCTTTTCGTTCCCTGTCGAGAGCCTATATGCATGATCAGCACGATACCCAATGTCCTCCACAGTCTTCCTACATACAGGATGGTAACGGACATCACTGGAGGTCCGTTGTTTAATTGGTGCCCATTTACTTCATCCCTTTTTTCTGTATTCACTCTCTCTCTTGGCTTCTCTTCAACTGCCCCCTTTATATATTCATTTGGCATATAACTTTTCTCTTTATCTTGGGAGGTGCTGTCAATCCGAGTCTGTTCTTCCCCACTGCCGTGCGCGAAAGTTCAAATACCTACAGTTGCTTCTCACTCCCTTTAAGAATTTTTTAACCACTTCTGATCTTATTCTCATGCTGCTGCAGTTTACACTGATGGTTCTAAGTCCTCTGATGGTGTTGGGTTTGTAGCAGTGTTCCCGGACAGCGTTGTGTGAAGTCATTTATTAGACTCGGCTAGCATTTTCACAGATGAACTGTGTGCAATTCTCATCGCACTTATATGCATTGCATCCATGCCTACCCCAACATTCGTGGTAGTTTGTCTCCTACAGTGCCTTGCATCCTGCCAAAATATTTAATTCGCTTCATCACCAAAGTTCTTTGCATACAACTTTGGTTACACTGCATTTCTAGCAAAAGCAAAGAAGTCATTTTCTGTTGGGTGCCTGGTCATGTTGATGTTCAGGGCAATGAGCAGGCAGTCAGCTGTATATGACCTCCATGTTTCTTGTAGGGGTATCCCATTCTCAGATTATTTTAGTATAATTTCTAGCCACCTTCACGAACGTTGGCAACAATACCGGTCCGGGTTGATGCATAAATTAAATTCTATCGAGTCGTGTTTAGGTTTCTGGTTTTCTTATCATATATGTATGTCATTGTTGGGAGACTACACTTTCTTGTCTTTGCATTGGGCACACATGACTCACTCATGGGTATCTCATGGAGAGATGCCCAGTGCCACTCTCTGAGAATTGTCAAATTCCAATATCAGTTTGCCATATTCTATTAGACTGGCCTGTCTACTAGCGGACAAGCAGAATTTACCTCTGATGTTGTCGCCACTCTACACCCTTACTTTATCTTCCCTTCTCACTTACAGCCCCACCTTTGATGCAGACTCTCTCTCTGAATTTTTGTCAGGAACAGCTCTCTTACACCAATGCTGATTACATGCACTTCCTTTAGCGCTCCTCACCGCCCTTCCTAACTCTACTTCTGTTATACTCTTTACTCTCACTGATCTCTGATCAGGCACATTACACATTTTAGTACACCCTACCCTACAGCGCTGCATGACCCTTATGGGTTTAGTGCTTAGTTATGATTATAATAATAATACAGAGTGGAAGATGCCATTTCTTTTTTTCCCATTATACGTCTCAAAAATTTACGCAGCGTCTTGGAGGCCAAAGGTTACATTGCTCATAAGCCTCAACCTAAGCCTAGATAAGTGTTTCAATACTAGATAGTAATTTAAGCTAGTGTATATAACCAATAATGAACAGTGTAGACTATTTTGTATAAAATAATGAATAAATAACAAAAATAATAAAAAATCGTAATTTGTTGGTGCTTAGCATCTGAAGGCTAAGGTAAACCAGGTGATGGAGTGGGATGGACTACTGGTAGCATCAGTAGGCTAATTTGTCTCTTTACCATCAAACCACCCAGTAATACAATTTTTACTTGCCTCAAAGGATCCTGATATTTGGGGAACATTATCAGATATAAAAAGCAAAAGTAAAATGGCACCATGTTAAAATGGGTTCAAATAACAATACAAACTGGTACAGTAAGTCCTTGACTTGGACACATTGGGGACCTCCTGAATTGTGTATAATATTCATAAAACAAAGTCTTCAGCTTACAAACACATTGGAGATCTTCTGTAATGTGTATAATAATAATATAATAATACAGTGGTACCTCGGTATACGTCTTTAATCCGTTTCCCATAAGAAATATAGGGAAAATGATTAATCCGTTCCCACGAAAAAAAAATCCTGTTGTTATTGGCATATTGATGGGCTTGTATAAAATAATTTAAACACTGCTTAATACTAAAATATGTAATTTAAACACTGCTTAATACTTAAATACATACATAAATACAAAAGATGAAATACATGCAAATTTAACCTCACTTAACTTTGCTGAAAAGAGTTGAGTGCCTACTAGGATAGTGCTGAGAAGGGAGGAGAAGGAAATGTTATTGTTTGGAAGGAGAGTCCCCTTCTCTTTTCTGTCTCTTTTTTCCTATTTGGACCTGGTTGAAGCTCACCAGGTTTCACTTTTACTAAAAATCTGTCCAAAGAACTTTGGTTCTGCCTTCTCCTCAGGATGTTTTGGAAATGTAACACTGTCTGGTCATTCCAGACAATGCTATTACGGCTTGTTTGGGCTTTGTTGGGGTGGTACTTCTCTGTCAAGTTTTTGACATCCATCCATTTGGCAAAGATTTCCTTGATTAATGAAGTAGGGGCTTCCTCTATCTCATCTTCTGAACCTGAAGAGAGTACATCCATCTTAGTCTTGTGCTCCTCCTCAAGTTCCTGCAGGTCCTCAGTGGTCAGCTCTTCTCTGTGCCCCTCCACTTACTCCTCCACATCATCATCACTCACATCCAGACCAATGGACCTGCCCAGAGAGACAATATCCTCCACTATAAACACAGCCTCAAAGCCCTCAAAGTCCCTTTCAGCCACTGATTCTGGCCACAAATTCCTCCAAGCAGAGTTCATTGTTCTGTATGAAACTTCCTGCCAGGCTTTGTCAATGAGAGTTATGCAATGGGCAATAGTAAAGTGATCTTTCCAAAACTCTCTCGAGGTTAACTCTGTGTCAGAGGTCACTTCAAAGCACCTCTGAAAACTTTACACTAAAGTGTAAAGTTTCTTGAAATTACTGATGACCTGCTGATCCATGGGCTGAATGAGAGGAGTCATATTAGGGGGGAGAAACTTTACAGTGATGAAGTCAAACTCCGGCAGCACGTAGTCCTGCAAGCATGGAGGGTGAGCTGGAGCACTGTCCATTATGAGGAGGGCCTTCAGAGGCAGGTTTTTCTTCTCTAAATAACTTTTTACACTTTGCCCAAACACAACATTAAACCATTTGCTGAAACATTCTCTGGTTACCCAAGCCTTGCTGTTTGACCTCCACATCACAGGTAACTGAGTTTTCTGCACGTTATGTTTTTTAAAGGCCCTTGGGCTTTCAGAGTGGTAGATCAGTAGAGGCTTCAGTTTGCAATGCCCACTTGCACTGGCAAAGAACAAGACACTGTGAATGCCAGTCCTCTTCTTAAAATTATCAAACCAGCCATGGCAGGCTTTAAAAACACTTTCTTGGCTTGTTCCTGCCTTGTTTTTCAAAAGATCGGCATGCATCAGTTTTGCTTTTTCTCTGATATGCTATCGCCATCACGCTGTTTTTCTTTTATCCAGATCAAAAGCAACTTTTCAACGTGCTTTAATGTCCCTGATCTTTGCTTAGTAATCGATTTTGCTCCCTTCGCAACATTAGCGAAGGGAGTGAAATCATAGATACCGTTGTTCTTGGCATATGGTATACGGCAGCCAAGTCCCAGATATACATGCCACCTTCATACTTTTCAACAATCTCTTTTTTCACATCCGTGGTGATCCTAACCATTTTCTTTGTTGCTTGGCTCTTCTCATTAATTTTCTTAGAACTCATGGTTAATGAATTTACTAAAAATTTATACAAAAAAACACAATCATGTGAAAATTCAGAGTTACAGTGCAGGTCGGTCACTGAATGGTAGCACTGGGCATGCTGAAGCTAGTGGGCAGTTGTGGCTTTGTCTCAAGAGAGAGGTAAACAAGGGTAGCGCATGGTGTTGAGACTCAGTTTTGACCCTTACAAGTTCTAGCACGCGAGTTCCCAAGTGAATGTATACCAAGGTACCAATGTAATAATATACACAATAATGATATAATAATGATATTATACACAATACAGAAGATTCTCAATGTGTTTGTAAGTTGAGGACTTACCATATATGGTACTAAGACACAAAAGCCACCATTTGCATCCCACAGGTTTATTTTGGTCATATTGCAGTACAAATGTACTCTTATTAAATAGTAAAATCAATAAACTCAAAAATATAAACATTAAATATTTTTAAAACACACGAAAAATCATCACAAATCAATATGCAATCCTAGTTGTAGACACATCCACTTGCATTCATCAAGACATTGAGTAGAAAGAGAACAAGAAACAGCTACACATACTAAGGAAGAGACGACTGATTGGAATTCAGCAGATCTAGAATAAATGCCTGTATACTTGTGAGTGAGAGCAATGCATTATGTGTTATATTTGTAACTAATAGTGTTAGCATGCTTTCAGCCAGTCAGAATTGGAGGGTGTCTTTGACACCAGAGCATCTTGTTTGCCATAAAATACTGTAAATTCTTACCTTGGATAAGAAGAGTGTGAGTAACAGTATCCTGGCCATAAGGATTCTCAACATGACAAGTGTATTCTCCAGCATCATCACGAGAAACTTCACGAATAAGTAAGGAACCCTCAGGCAGGAGCCGCATACGATCATTGGGGGCAAAAGGCTCTCCTCGGATTGTCCACCTACAGACGGAATTTTTTTTTAAAAATGTTATCAAATAAATTAATGACTACCATTACTAGTAGAAGCACCTCTTTCTCTTTCCTTCTGAATTTAGTAAAAATGTGTTTTATATATATTTTATTCTAAAGCTTTATTAAATTATAAACAATTAGTAACATAATGACTTGGTGATAATTACCTAATGTCTGGAGTTGGTAATCCAACTGCCTGGCACATGAGCTTAACGTCTTCTTTATATGTTGCCACATACTCATCATCAAATGATGCAATTTTAGCAGGAACTGAAATTTATAAGAAAAAAAAATGAATATTAGTAAAGAATTATTCATTGCTTTAACCCTTTCAGGGTTTCGGCCGTACTAGTATGGCTTACGTGCCAGGGTCCTTGACGTACTAGTACTCATAAATTCTAGCACCTTCAAATCTAGTGAGAGAAAGCTGGTAGGCTTACATATGAAAGAATGGGTCTATGTGGTCAGTGTGCGCAGTATAAAAAAAATCCTGCAGCACACAGTGCGTAACGAGAAAAAAAAAACTTTGACCATGTTTTTGGATTAAAACAGCGACTTTGTACTGTATTTTCATATGGTATTTATTGCTGTATTCTAGTTTTCCTGGTCTCATTTGATGGAATGGAAGACATATTACAGAAATTGAGATGATTTTGACTGGTTTTACAATGAAAAGTACCTTGAAATTGAGCTCAAAGCAGCAGAAATGTTTGATTTTTACCAAAGTTCAAAAGTAAACAAATCATGCTATGCATCCAATACACGTCAACTGGTGAGTCTAATATTCTTTCACAAGTGCACCGATATTATTTATACCATTTCTACACCAATGCAGTAGTCTGCATAACAGTATATCTTCTTTTTGTGAGAATAAAAATTCAAAATGGAAAGCAAAAGAATGTAAGAAGGGCATGGGGACGTGACTAATGAACAGAGGAAATGTTATTTTAGTGCCAGAAATGTCTTTCTTGTTTATTCTGGACCCTATTTGGAAATTGGCATTTTTTGAAATTTGTGTGAAATTGGCAAAATTGCTAAATTCTGACCACTATATTGGATAGTTGAAATCGGTAAATGGGTGGTTTTTTGTACTCATTCTATAGAAAAAATGGAGTTCTAGCAAAATAGTTATGATTTTTGTCAACTAGTACACTGGAATTGGCCGAAAATAGGGCTCAAAGTGGGCAAAATCGCCGTTGCGTAAACATCATTGAGACCGCTAACTTAGTGAGAGCATAATTCCATAAGTTTTCCATCAAATTTCATACTTTTGGTGTCATTATGATCGGGAAAAGATTCTCTATCTTTTCCTAAGAAAAAATAATTTTTTTTTTTTTTTTGAAATTTGGGGGACCCTGAGAACAAGTCTCTGAGAGGGTCTGTGGACCCTGAAAGGGTTAAGGATGGCTATTAGTTACCATAATATAAACCTACCTAGGTAGTAGGTTGGTAGACAGCAATCTCCCAGGGAGGTACTACCGTACTGCCAAGTGAGTGTAAAACAGAAACATGTAATTGTTTTACATGATGGTAGGATTGCTGGTGACTTTCTTCTGTTTCATAAACATGAAAGATTTCAGGTATGTCTTGCTACTTCTACTTACACTTAGGTCACACCACACATGCATGTACAAGCATATATACACACACACCCCTCTGGGGTTTCTTCTATTTTCTTAGTATTTCTTGTTCTTGTTTATTTCCTCTTATCTCCATGGAGAAATGGAACAGAATTCTTCCTCCATAAGCCATGCATGTCATAAGAAGTGACTAAAATGTCTGGAACAAGGGGCTAGTAACCCCTTCCATATAAATTATTAAATGGAAAAGAAAACCATTCATTTCTTCTTTTTCAGGTCACCCTACCTTGGTGGGAGATGATGAGTGTATTAATAATAAAAATACAGGGATGTGTAACTTCACCATGGTTGTTTAATATATTTATAGATGGGGTTGTAAAAGAAGTTAATGCTAAGGTGTTCGGGAGAGGGGTGGGATTAAATTATGGGGAATCAAATGCAAAATGGGAATTGACAGTTACTTTTTGCTAATGATACTGTTTATGGGAGATTCAGAAAAACTGCAAAGGTTAGTGGACGAGTTTGGGAGTGTGTGTAAAGGTAGAAAGTTGAAAGTGAACATAGAAAAGAGTAAGGTGATGAGGGTATCAGATATTTAGATTAACCCCTTCAGGGTCCAAGGCCCAAATCTGAAGTGGTGCCCCAGTGTCCAAGAATTTTCAAAAAAAAAAAAATTTGTTATTTTTTCTTATGAAATGGTAGAGAATCTTTTTGTGAAGGTAATAAAACAAAAAGTACGAAATTTGATGGAAAATTGGCGAAATTATGCTTTCGCGAATTTTGATGTGTCAGCGATATTTATGAATCGGCGATTTTGCCGACTTTGACTCCCATTTTAGGCCAATTACATTATTCCAGTCAACCAAATTCTTAGCTATTTCACTGGTATTGCTTCTATTCTATCGATTCAGCACAAGAAATCGCCAAGTTAACTGTTTCAACTACAAATTAAAGTGATCGGAAATTGTTAATTTGGCCAATTTAGCACAAAGTTCAAAATATTCCAATTTCAAAATAGGGTCCAGAATAAACAATGTAGGTATTCCTGGCACTAAACTAACATTTCCTCTGTTCATTAGTTACGTTTTGAGGCTTTACAAATAAATTCCATTTTCATTTTTTATTCGCATAATGAATTTTTATTCACACCAGAAAATAGAAGATTTATTGTTATGCAATACTGTAATAATTGTATAAATATCATCACCATATTTGTGAATGCATATTAGACCCACCAGCTGGCATGTATTAGACATGTGAGGTAGTTTGTTTACTCTTGAATATCGGCAAAAATTTAACATTTCTGCTACTTTGAGCTCAGTTTCAAGCCATTTCCAGTGCTAAAACCAATCAAAATCATCTCTATTTCTGTAATATGTCTTCCATTCTATCAAATGAGACTAAGAAATCGCAAATAGAACTATAAAAAACATACGAAAAAACACTGCAAAGTCGCTGTTTTAATCGAAAAATCATGATTTCAGTTTTTTTCTCTCATTATACACAACGTGCTGCAGGATCTGTTTTATGTGGTGCACACATACCACATAGATGTATTCTCTCATATCTAGGCCCAAATGTACCACTCACAGTTTATCAGAGTGAGCTGAGCTCATGACGTAGATCTACGGTTTGGACCCTGAACGTAAAGCCGTAGATCTACGGGACGGACCCTCAAAGGGTTAAGAAAAATTTTATATTAAATTGGGGAGGAGGAGTATGGAAGAAGTGAATGTTTTCAGATATTTGGGAGTTGACGTGTCAGTGGATGGATTTATGAAGGATGAGGTTAATCATAGAATTAATGAAGGAAAAAAGGTGAGTGGTACGTTGAGGTATATGTGGAGACAAAAAACGTTATCTATGGAGGCAAAGAAGGGAATGTATGAAAGTATAGTGGTACCAACACTTATATGGGTGTGAAGCTTGGGTTGTGTGGTGTAAATATTATGCAGAAAATTCCATTGTGACTCATGTGGTATTCAGTTGGAGGCTTTTCTCGCTTCTCACCCCCTCCATGTTTTAAATACGGGTACTCCCACCCATTTTGATCCTCGTACTCATACTCTCTCTTACATCAATCTCTCGATCTGCTCTTCCTCCAATGCACTAGACTTCACCTGGTCTGTTCTACCAGACTTACATGACAGCGATCCTTTTCCAATCATTCTTACTTCCCTTCATATTCACCACCTCTTCGTAGCCCTCGCTGGCAATTTGATCAAGCAAATTGGGACCTTTACTCACAACTGCTTTTAGTGAGGTTCCTTCTTCATCCTCCAATGATGAGCTTTTACACTTCTCTACGTCAGTTTTAACTGCAGCTTCTCATTCTATACCCCAAACCTCAGGCAGGCATTCTCATAAGTGTGTTCCATGGTGGTCTCCTGCTTGTGCTCGGGCAGTATGTTTGAAACGCACTGCATGGGGCAGGTACCGGTACAACAGAACCACAGAGAGACTTCTTGATTTCAAGCAGAAGTGAGCGGTTGCTCGCCGTGTCACCCGTGACACTAAACGCACTTGCTGGCGAGATTATGATTCCACCATCACCTCGGCTACCTCTGTGAATGCAGTCTGGGAAAAAGTATGGAAACTGAGTGGTAAATACTCTCCTGACCCGGCTCCTGTTCTGCAGGTTGCCGGTGTTGATATAGCAAACCCTCTTGACGTTGCCATTGAAATTGGCAATCATCTGGTCCATATTTCTCAGGGGCTCCATCTATGCCCCTCGTTTCTTTCCTCAAAGTCTGCCAGAGAGTTAGCACCCTTAGACTTTTCTTCTTTCAAAGAAGAATCTTATAATGTGCCTTTTACACTTCAGGAACTGGAGGCAACACTTTCAGCTTGCCGATCATCGGCAGCTGGGCCAGACGGCATTCATATCCGGATGTTACAACATTTACGTCAGTCAGCCTTTACAGTCCTCTTACAACTCTTCAATCTTATTTGGTCACAAGGATTTCTTCCACAGCTGTGGAAATCTGCCATTCTTCTCCCTTTCCACAAACCGGGTACTACGGAATATGATGCCTCCCACTATCATCCCATTGCTCTTACTAGTGCAGTTTGCAAAGTGATGGAACGTCTGGTAAACCAACATTTAATGTGGTATCTAGACACACACAACAGTCTCTCCACTAGTCAATATGGCTTTCGTAAGGGCTGTTCTACCATAGACACCTTACTACACTTGAATATGTATGTTTGTAATGCCTTTGCAAATAACCACTCAGTTACTGCCATATTTTTTTGATCTTGAAAAGGCATATGACACAACTTGGAGGTATAATATTTTGGCCCAAGCCCACTCCTTAGGCCTCCGAGGCAATCTACCATCCTTCCTTAAGAACTTCTTAACTGACAGACATTTCCGTGTTCGGGTTAATAAGCTGAAGGTGTCCCCCAGGGATGTGTTCTGAGCACAACACTTTTTCTCCTTGCTATAAATGATTTGGCCTCTCTTCTTCCATCCAATATTTGGTCATCACTCTATGTTGATGACTTCGCTATCCTTCATAAATCCATCTGCCGACACTTCAACTCCCAAGTATCTGAAAACATTCACTTCTTCCATACTCCTCCTCCCCAATTTGATATCCAATTTTTTTTTATCTAAATTATTTGATACCCTCATCACCTTACTCTTTTCTATGTTCACTTTCAACTTTCTACCTTTACACACATTCT